GAGTTGACTGTATATGCAAGGGTGTATTTCGGTGCTCTCTGTTCCATTCCATTATTGGTCGGTGTGTTGAATTTTAGATCAGTGCCATGTTGTTTTAATCACTACAGCTTTGTATTTTAACTTGAAATCAGGAAGTGTGATGCCTTCAGGTCTGTTCTTTTCTCAGGATTGTCTTGACTCTTAAGGGTCTTTTGTGCTTCCATATGTTTACGGATTTTTTTTTCTATTTATGTGAAAAATGACATTCAAATTTTGATAGGGATGGCCTTATAGATGGCTTTGTGTGGTATGGCCATTTTAACAACAGTAATTTTTCTGATCCACGAACACAGAACATCTTTCCATTTGTGTCTTTTTCAGTTTCCTCCTGGGTCTTACAGTTTTCATTGTGCAGAACTTTCACCTCCTTGGCTAAATTTATTCCTAAATATTTTCTTGGTTTTGGTGCCATTGTGAATGGGATACTTCTCTTTATTTGCTTTTTGGATATTTCATTGGTAGTGTCTAGAAACACAGCTGATTTCTGTGGGTTGATTTTGTATCTGGAAACTTAATTCACTGGTTAGTTCTAATTTTTTTTGTTGGAGTCCTTCAGATCTTCTGTGTTTCAGAGCATATCGTCTATAAAGACAATTTTACTTCTTTTCCAATTTGGATGCCTTTTATTTCTTTTTCTTGCCAGACTGCTCTGGTTGAGAGTTCCAGTGCTGTGTTGAACAGGAGTGTGAGAGTGGGCATCCTGTCCTGACGGTAGAGGAAAAGCTTTAACCTTCACTATTGAGTATGATGTTCACCGTGGGCTTGTCGTAGGTCACCTGTATTATGTTGAGGTATGTTCTGTACCCAGTTTGTTGAGGGATTTTATCATGAAAGGATATTGTATTGTGCCAAATGTGTTTTCTGCATCTGTTGATATGATTGTATGATTTTTATCTTCATTCTTTTAACGTGCAGCTTCAGGTTTATTGGTTTGTGTATGTTGAACCCATCCTGGCATCCCAGGGATGAATCATAGTATATCATAATGTCTGATCCTTTTAGTTGTGCTGATGGATTCAGTTTGCTAATGTTTTGTTGAGACTTTTTGCATCTGTGTTTATCAGGAATATTGGTCTGTAGTTTTCTTTCCTTATATTATCCTTATTTGCCTTTAGCCAGGTAATGCTGGCCTTGTAAAATGAGTTTGGGAGTGTTTTCTCCTCTTGAAGTTTTTGCAAGAATTTGAGGAAGACTGGTGTTGATTTCTCTTCAAATGTTTGGTAGAATTCACCAGGAAAGTCATCTGGTCCCGGGCTTTTCTGTGTTGATAGGTTTTTGGTCACTGATTAAATCTCTTCTTATTGGTCTGTTCCTGTTTTTTAATTCATTTTGATTGAATCTTGGTAGGTTGTGTGTATCTAGGAATTTGTCCATACTTCTGGGTTATCTAGTTTGGTGGTTTCCAGTTATTCGAAGCAGTCTCTTAGGATCCTTTTTATTATTGAGGTATCTATTGTAATGTCTCTCCATTTCGGATTTTGAGTCTTAGCATCACTAAATATTTGTCAATTTTGTTTATCTTCGTTAATTTTCATTGTCGGGGGGGGGGGGGACAAAAACAAGGACTGTCTTAGGCCACCATGGTGACATACCTTCAAACTCATTTCTTTTTATCACCGAACAATATTCCATTTTCTGTATGTTCCACAGTTTACCTGTTCACTTGCTGAAGAACATCTTTGTTGCTTCTAAGGCGAGGCAGTTATGACTAAAGATGCTATAATTGTGTGCAGGTTTTGTGTGGACATAAATTTTCAACTCCAGTGGGTAGATACCAGGGAGCTTGCTGGACTTAGGCCAAGACTATGCTTAGTTTTTTAAGAAACCACCAAACTGTCTTCCAGAGTGGTTGCACCATTTTGCATCCCTGCCAGCCATGAGCAAGAGTTCTGGCTTTGCCATGTTCTCTCCAGAAATTGGTGTTGTCTGTGATCTGGGCTTTCTGGACTTGGGCTGTTCTGCAGGTGCCTAGTGATACGTGTTTATTTGCTTTTCTCTGACGGATGATGTGGGGCATTTTTTTAAATGCTTATTTGCCATCAGTCTGTCTCCTTTGGTGAGGTGTCTCTTCTAGTCAGTGACCCATTTTTCCATTGGGTTGTTTCTGACCATTGAGTTTCAAAAAGTCTTTGTATATGTATCTTGGTGACAAAATCCCGTGTCCGGGGTGGTTTTCCTTCCCCGTGTGACCGTGTTCTTCATGGAACAAAAGTTTGAAAACTTAATTCCAGCTTATCAGTTATTTCCTTCACTGCTGAAAAGTCCTCACCTTGCCCAAGGTCACCTGCGTTTTCTCCTGAGTTTCTTCTAGAAACTTTATAGAGTTTTGCACTTCAGGCCTATGATCCTTTTTGAGTCAGTCTTCATGAGACGTGTGAGGTCTGCGTCAGGCTCGTTCATTTTCCTAGGAGGACGTCCGGGTGTTCCAGCACATTTGTTGCCACAACTGCCCTTGCTCCAATGCTTGCCTTCCTTCCTGTGTCAGAGGCGGGCTGGCGGTGTTCACGTGGGCCGACTGCTGGGTCCTCTTCTGTCCTACTGATGTGTGTGTGTTCTCCCCGACGCCACACTGTGTGAGTACTGGAGTGTTTCAGTACATCTCCAAGTTAGGTAGGCAGTCCGCCCCTCCTCCCCTCCTCTTCATCCTCACCCCTCCTCCTCTTCCTCCCTCTCCCTGCTGTGACTCCAGGCCACCTTTAACGCACATCATTGTTGCTGGCTTTCCCCCTCTGCCTCTTGCCCATGAGAAGCCATCCACTGGCGCAGGTAAGACACCACCGACCAGTGGACCAGCAAGAGGAGGGAGGGAGGAGGAGGAAGGACGAAGGAAGGAGGAGGGAGGAGGGAGAGAATGGCGGGAGCGGCCTCTGAAAGGAAGAAGTGACACACATAACTCCCTCCCACGCTTACTTGGCCACAGCAGGGTCGCTGGGGCGCGCCTGAGTCCGGCAGGGTTGGGACCCGTAACCCTGTCCCAAGGAGGAGATGCCGATAAAAACAGTGGGACCCGTCCCAGTCCCTTTCCTAAAAGAGAGCGTCCCCGATCGTCTCCGGGAATGACCCGTCTGTCTTCCTTCTACTGAAGTTTACGTCACAAATCCCAAGTGCGCGACGCGGCAGATTTTCACAGTGAGCACCGGGTGTGACCTGCGCTCGGGTCAGAAACGAGGCCGCCCGCGGACAGGACCCCGCGGCCTTTCCTCCGGCATCGGCAGGTGCGGAGGCCCCGCAGAAACACCTGCCCCGTGTGTCTGGCAACAGTAGCCGGAAGCAGTGGGCTGGAAACGTCCCAGGGCCTTTGAACGAGCGGGGCGGCGCTACTGCAGGAGAAGGGGCCGGGTCTGCGCCGGGTGGGCTCCAGCGACAGGTGCGCCGGGACTCTTCCCACGGGCCCTTGTTGCTGGTGACTCGGGCTGTGTCTCCATCGCTTCACGTCCACCCTTATTCCTGAGGAGTCCCTTCCAGAAAAACCGGTTAGAACCCAAGGAGGGGGGGCTCAGTGTCCCCACATGGGCACTTCCATGGTCCCTGGGAGCAGCCAGCCGCGAGCCTGTCAGACTGAGCAGACGCTGCACATTCCCCTGCTCTCCCCCGTGGATTCTGGGTGGTTTCTGTGGCACGTGCTCCTGCCCGGCTTGGGGTCCTTCGCCTCCGTCCCCACAGCCCCTCGCCGAGGCTCCTGCTGGGGGGAGACGCAGCCTTGCATGAAGGCCCGTGTGGTGCTGGAAGCAGAAGAGCGGCTTCAGGGCCATCTGCACGCAGTCTCGGGGGGAACAGAGTGCCATGTCCTCGGATTCCTAATGCCGCGTGGCCTTGCATCTGTGCAGTGGGGCGGCCCCAGGCCTGTTTGGGCCGCAGGACAAGCCCGGGGTCCGACGGCGGTGGGGAACTCGGACACCGCCTGATCGGAGCCTGGAAAGAAAACCCCAGCCGGATGCGGCCCGTCGAGCAGGTGAGTTGAGCCGAGTGAGCGCGTCTACTTAGTTCCTCTGAACAGATCGGACTCCGCGGCCTCGAGAAGCAGAAACTGGCAGCCGGGACTGTGGGCGGGCAGGGGGCCACCCGGGGGGCCACGGGGGGACAGCTGTGCGGGTGGGGGAGGTGGCCTGGGAAGGGAGACCCGAGGTCCCGTGTTCACAGCAGCGTGGTCTCACGTGTAGGAAACCCTGAAGTCTCCGACGGGAAACCACGGTCAGCGCTGACAGACTCAGGAAGGCGGCAGGACACAAATCAACAGGCAGACGTCACTCACGTTTCAGATTAAGGAAACGATTCCTTTTAAAATGGCGTCAAAAAGAGTAAGACATTTAGAAACAAGTTAGGCCAACGAGACAGGAGACTTGTTTACGGGAACTACACCGTGTTACTGAACGACCACGGAAGGCGTTAATACGCGGACAGATGTCCTGTGTTCACGGCCGGGTGACTGGACGCCGCTAGGACGACAGTGTTCCCGAAATGCTGGTTCCTCCACAGGTTCACTGCCATCACCCCCGAAGCCCTGGACACTTTTTTTGTAGATACAGAAAAATACATTCCAAATTTCATACGGCGTTTCAAGGGACCCGGAGTACCCGAAATAATTTTGACAAGGAGAAAGTTGGAGGACTCACGCTTCTTGATTTCAAAATTCACTGCAAAATTACAGCAATAGAAACAGTGTTGTTTTGGCATAAAACACAAGTAGAGACGAGAGGATTGGAGGAGAAAACCCAGAAAGAAGGCCGCATACACTTGGTCAACTCATTTCCAGCAAGAGTGCCAAAACTCTTCAATGGGGGAAAAGACGGGTTTTTCTTTAACAAATGATGTCGGGAAAACTGGACGTCCACACGTGCGCGAGAGAAAGAGGCTGGACCCTTCCGTGACCCCATATGCCCAAATCAGCAGAAATGGGGTCAAATACCCAAGCGTAAGAGCGAAGACCGTAAGACTCTTAGAAGAACACACAGGAGAGAAGATTCAGGACGTTGCATTTGTGGTGATTTATTGGCTCTAACACCCAAAGCACAGGCAACTAGAAAAGCAGATAAATTGGACTTTCACAAAAGGAAGCACTTTGGGGCATCAGAGGGCTCCATCAGGGGAGTTAAAGACAGCCCACAGAATGGGAGAAAATGTCTCCCTCACCTGATGAGGGGCTGACACCCAGGATCTGTAAAAACTGCTCAGCGACAAAGGAACGATCCCATTAAAAAATGGGCCAAGTCTGTCTCCAGAGACGACGCACAGATGGCCGGTCAGCGCCCGACTGGAACTCCCCTCACTCCTCACCAGGGGACACAGGACAATCGCGAGGTCCCGCAACCATCAGAAGCGCAGCACAGCGAGCGTCGGCCAGGACGTGACGCCCAGGTTGTGACGCCGATGGCCGAGCGCGTTGCCGGTGGGCGCGGGAGACGAACATCCCCCATGGAAACACAGGGGAGTCTCGGAAAGACCCATGTGGCCCAGCGATCCCACTCCTAGGGGTTTACGAGGTACTCATAGTTCATGAGCACGGCGGCTGCGAGGGAGAAGTGACCCCCGTGTGGCCTCCCCAGCATCGGCCCACCCGGGGGACACCACGGCCACCTGCGCCTGCTCGTGCGGTCAGCTCTGCGGCGGGGTCCCTTCTCCGACCCCGTCTCTCCCTGGGGGGCCGGCCTCCCGCCCCTGGAGAGCGGCCCAGCCCCAGGTCTTGAGATCTGGCGCTTTGCAAAACTATGTTTCTCTGCAGACCAGAGGTATTCCGCTCAAGCAGCAGACTCTCGTAATGGCTCATCTTGGGATCTGAGCAGATGATGCTTCACGAGAGCCTGTGGAGGGGAAGTTAAGGCAAAAAGTTACTGCATTTCTGGGCTCCTCTTGCCAAAGGCACGAGGCCCCGCTTACTGGTTTCCCGCGGGCAGGTTTATTATCGCGCTTCCTCTTTACTGCTGGTCTCAGTGGAACCAGGGCAGTTTGAGGGGAGAGTCAGATTCCCCACCTCCGTGCCGTGTGGTTCTTCCACATCGCGCAGCAATGCGGAGCCTCGGGTGGCAGGGGGCCGTCGGGACACAGGACGGGGCAGCCAGGCGGGGTGGTGGGGACCAGAGCTTGCGCCCCCCTACCCCCACCCCCACCCCGAGGGGACCCTGGTGGTTGCCCAGTGGACGGAGTCCAGCGTTGACGAGCCCGCGACCGTTCAAGAGCATCCAGGTGTGGCACCCTCAGGTGAGAGCTCGGGTGTGTCCAGGTGGCTCTCGTGCGGCACACCCTCTGTCGCCCCGGATCCACTGTCCCCCGTGTTCACCCCACTCCCTCCCCGCGCCTTGACCTGCAGGCCGTGTGGCTGGGGCTCCCACCTTCTGCCTTGTGGTCAGGCCCCACCTGCGGGAGCCCCCAGAGCTGCGCGTGGGGAGAGAGGTGTGTCTACACTGGCCTGCTACGTCTACCAGATATGCCTTGTGTCCCCATGCTGACCAGGGAAGTGTCACTTATTCCCCAGGTTTGTCTGCCCTGTCCTAGGATGTCTCCCACGTTTCCAAGGTGTGTGTTAGAACCTGGAACGTCTCTCAGAACTCTGGTGTTTCTACTGTGAACCGTGATAGCTCCCTCTCTCCTGACTGTGTCTCACCTGACCCGGTGTATCTGCTCATAGTTCAGGTACGTCTATACTGACCTGACAGAGGATGTTTCAGTGACCCATGTTTACCATTACCTGGCTGCCCTCACCTGGCAGGTGTTCAGCTCTCCCCAGCTGTGGCTACCTTCACCTTGTATGTTTTCTCCAAGCCCGTGTGTGTCTCCACGACCAGGGACGCCTCCCTCGTGCCCCAGGTGTGTCCGTACTAAGCGGGAGCATCTCTGGGTGTGACTGTCGTGTCTAGTGTTGCCCAAGATGTGCACCTCATTCCCCAGGTCGGTCTGTCTTAGTGGAAGGTTCCTCGTTTCCCAGGGCTGGCTGCCTCATCTTGGGTATCTGCCTGGTTGCACAGGTGAGTCTACATGACCTGCGGCGTCTCCCGAAATCCCCGGCCGCGTCTGCCCTGACTTGGTAGGTCGTATCCACTAGGTGTGTGTGTCCTGACCGGACGTCTGCCTGTCGCAGGTGTTGATCTCCTGACCTGGGATGTCTCCCTAGTCCTGAGGTGTGTCTACACCATGCTGGGATACCTCCCTTTATCTGCACTTGGGTCTACACTGACCAGCAGTGCTTTAATAGCTTAAGTGCCCACCATAACCTGGTATGTCTGCCTGATATCCCACTGTGCCCACACTGACCTGGAAGGTCTCTGTAACAGGCATGTCAGAGCAGCTCTGGGACATGGGTTCTCCAGGTGTTTACTCTGACCTGCGACGTTTTCTGTTGCCCCCTCGTGCATAGACCCTGACCATGTCTCCTGAATCCATCAAATGCCAGTGTACTCACTTGATCTTTTTAGTTGGTTAAATTCAGTTTTTATTTTTATAAGCCAATCTGCACCTTTCATGATGGGTTTCAATTTTTTGTGCGTTGTTTATACAAGCAAAACCTGTATTAGACTCTTTACTCTCTGAATAAGACTGGTACTGCTAAGGGAGGGAACGAGCTAACTACTGCACAAACACTTACTGTAACTGTAGACATTCTGCGATAGAGAAAGTCACTTCTGTGGAGTTCCAGTGAGATACAGCTGGAGAATTCTGGAGACCTAACTTGTAAAGGTAGACACCCCAGGGGAACAGAGTCCACCTCCCCGCTAGGACCAGCAACACTGGAGTGTGGAGGGAGTCCTCGCTCAGGCCAGACACCATCCTGGGTCACGGAGACGTCACAAGCCTGGAGAATTGGAGTGACAGCCCAGGTCGGGACAGATGCCCCTCCAGGCACGTGCACACACACCTGACTTACTAGGGAGGCCTCAGTGCTTACGGCCTGAACCTGTCTCCCTGATCAGGGTAGACAGAACTGGGGGGTTAGGGACACTTCCCGGGTCCATGCAGAAATACTTGAGGAATCGAGGTGACATCGTTGATCATGGTAGCTCCCCCTGGGGAACGAAAGCATCACGTTAGAATTGGGGGACACCCCATGTCAGAGTTGAACTACCCAAGGAAGCACTCACTACGCGTCCCGTTAGACTTTGTGTGATGTAAAGAGGTGCCCTGGTAGACAGCCAGAGTGACAGGGAGATGTCAGGGTGGACGTCCCGCCAGATCAGCGTGGACATGCCTGGGGAACTGGGGAAACGTCCAGGTCTGGTTAGACAGGGGACTAGACATCACAGGTCAGTGTAGATACACCTGGAAAATGAGGAACACACCCCAGGTCAGGATAGGCATACCCTGAGGATTTAGAAAGTCGTCCTTATTCGGTGTAGACTCGTCTGCATAATTAGATATCCCAGCTGTAAACAGCCACACCTCAGCAGTTAGACAGCTGAGATTAAGGTGGGTGCACCTGGGGAACAGGGAGGTAAACCATGTCAGCGTAACATGTGGGGTATTAAGTAGACACAGCAGGTCAAGTGCGGACACCAGGGGGGGATGAGGGGAACATCCTGGGCTAGTGTAGACGTAACTGGAATATCAGAAAGGCATTCAGAGCATCATGGCAGTGTAAGACATCCCTGCTTTGTGTCTCCCTTTTTGAATAACTCGTCAGGCATCCATCTGTGAACACAAGTGCCTCTGGGATCCAACCCCATACGCCAAAGGCTCTGGGAGGAGCGTCACCCAACCGTGTACCTGGAAATAGGCAGACAGACCTCCGAGGGGCTGCAAACCAGCGGGAGCCCTCTTGCCGCTAGCGGGGAAGCCTCGAGCATGCTGACTTGGACAGAAATGCACAGACAAGGAAGGCCGGGGTGGGGTCCAAGCTGCCCCAGGGGCGGCTCCAGCACATCCCCAGAGTCTGGATGCACTGGAAATAGAGGAACTTTGCCGGTGCCACCCCTCCCCAAAGGTGACGCCATGTGGGGCTCAATGAGCAGCAGCAGCCTCTCCCACGGTGGGAGGGAGCACCGGGAGTGCCGGCTTCCCCAGCTGTGTGGGGGCTGCAGGAGAACCCCATTTCTCTCCAGCAGCACTGAGAGTACTGAGAGACGTCCATGACTCCAGGGGAGAGAGGATCAGCAAACAGACAGATGAGAATATTAGCACTGAAGTCCAAATGTGAGCTTCTGGAAGAACCCTACCTGAGGATCCACCACACCTAGAATACTGAGCCCACACCTGCCCAGTCTGCCCCCGTGGGCGGAGGACGCACCACACAAGTGTCTGTAGGGCCACCTTCCGGGAAATGAGGTGAGTTCTCCAGACCAGAGAAGGCCTACAAGCTCAAGAATTCTGCTACAGGACAGGGCAGGGAGCAAGGACAGAGAAAGCCCAGACCCGACAGGCTCGACTAACAGCATCTCCCACCTGAAAGGGATCACAAAGACTGAGGCGATGTCCGCCACTCCTACACCAGAGCAGCACCGCAAAAGTACAACGAACGTGAGTGAAGAATCAAGGAACGCGTCGTCACCATAAGGCAACAATAACCCTCCAACAACCAAACACAAAGGCTGAAGTTTGTGACCCAGCTGATAAGGGGCCCAAAGAAAACACACAAGAGACAATTTAACAAAAATCAGAAAAGCTGTATGTACATGAACAAAATGAGAAATTTAACAATGAGAAATCACAAAAAAACTGGGACTAAAGAATTGAATGAATGGGATGAAAAATGCAATAGAGGGTACTCACAGCAGAGTGTATAAAATGAAAGACGGAATCAGTGAGCTACAGGATAGGAACTTTGAAATAACCCAATCGGGATTACAAAGAATTAAAAAGCATTACAAAAGCCTAGAAGATCCATGCGACTCCATCAAAAGTACAAGTATCAGAAAAATTGCATTCTGGAAAGAGAAAAGGAGCAGGGAGTTTATTTAAGAAATAATGGCTGAAACGTCCCAGACCTGGGGAGACACTTGGGCAGCCAAGTCCAGGAAGCCAATAGACCACCCTCCTATCCCGGTGCCAACAGGCCTTCCCCAAAACACACTCACCATGACAAAACTGTCAAAAATCCAAGACAGAGAATCCGAAAAGCATGCAGAGAATATTGTAATCTACAAAGGAACCCTCACTGGGTGGTCAGTGCATTTCTCAGCAGAAAGCCTATAGGCCAGGAGAGAGTGGATGATAATTCAAAGTGCTGTAGGAAAAAAACTGCCTGCCAAGAATATCTGGTAAAGTTATCCTTCAGAAATGAAGAAATAGACACTTTTCCAACAAAAGCTGAGTGAGTTCATTGCACTAGACCCTCCTTACAAGAAATGCTGAGAAGAGTTATTCCAGCTGAGGTGAAGGGACATTAATCAGCGAAACGACACACGAGTCAGATTGCGACGGTAGATTGGCCACTTTGCTGGAACATAAAGGTCCAGGGGAAAGAATATAAAAATTACAGCTATTATGATTGATTAATACACAATACAAAAGAGAAAAACTGTGACATCAAAAATATACAAGTGGTAAAGAGTGAGGATTCTGTATGTGGAGTCACTGTCAACCTCAAATGGGCTGTTTTATCTGAGATAGATCATGTCAGCCTCCTGGTAACCACAGAGCAAAATTCTGAAGTAGAGGCACAAAAGAGCAAAGGGAAAAGAGAGCGGACCACCACAGAAGATTGAGATACAAAAATGGGCAGAAACAGCACAGGGAAAATTGAAGTGCGAAACAACCAGGAAACAGGTAATAAGGGCTTCCTATAGCCACTCTGTTACCAGTAATCACACTAAATACAAATGGACTGAATTCTCCAATCGACACACACACAGTGGCTGAATGGATTTCTGAAAAGAGCCAACTGCATGCTGGCTGTAAGAGACTTGCTTCAGGTTTAAGGACACACATAGGCTCAAAGTCAAGGGACAGAAAATGATATTTCATGAGGGTGTAATCCAAAAGAAAGCAAGGGTATTTATATCAGAGAAAATAGATTTTAAGCCAAAAACAGTAACAAAAGAGGTCATTACATAAGGATAAAGGGAGTTTACCAAGAATATGACAGTCAAACATACACACGTTAAAGCACCTAAATATATTAAGCAAATGCTAACAGATCTGAAAGGGAAAAAAAGACAACACAATAATAGACTCTAATAGCCCTCTTTCGGCCATGGATATAGATCATCCAGACAGAAAATCAACAAGGAGACATTGGACTTGAACCATACATTAGACCAAATGGACCTAATAGACATTTATAGAACATTCTAGCTACAGCAGCAGAATGCACATTGTTCCCTAATACACACATTCTCCAGGACAGATCATATGACAGGCTGCAAAATGAGTCCTAGCAAACTTAAGAAGACAAATTATATCAAGTATGTTTTCTCACTGAAATGGTACAAAACTGGAAATCAACACAAAGAGTAAAGCTGGGAAATCTACAAATGTGTAAACTAAACATCGCATTCCTGAACAATGAATGGGTCAAAGAAGAAATCAATAGGAAATTAAACAAAATACCTGCAAACAAATGACAACAGAAACATAATGCACCAAAACCCATGGGATGCTCCAAAACAAGCTCTGAGAGGGAGGTTTATAGTAACTAGTGCAAACGTTAAAATAAAAGTACCTTAAATAAACAATGTAACTTTATGCTTCAAGGAACTAGAAAGGTAAGAACTAAACCCAACGTCTGCATAGGGAAGGAAGTAGATTCTCCAAGATCAGAGCTGAAACAAATGAAATAGAGACCAGAAAAGCAACAGACAAGATCAATGACACTAGGAGCTGGGTTTCTGGAAAGATAAACTTGACAAACCTTTAGCTAGACTAAGAAGACTCAAAATCAGAAATGAAAGAGAAGATATTGCAACTGATACGACAGAAATGCAAAGGATCATAAGAGACTACTACCAAGCCTGGATCAGGAAGAAAGAAAATTTGAATAGGCCAATAATGAGTCAGGAGATTGAATCAACAACCAAAAACCTCTCAACACAGAAAACTCCGGGACCAGGTGGCTTCACTGCTGAAATCTACCAAATGTTTACAGAAGAATTAATGCTGTTCCTCCCCCAACACAGTCCCAAAAACTGAAGAGGAGGGGACACTTCCAAACTTATTTCACAAGGCAAGCATTACCCCGATAGTAGGTTGACAAAATATTAGTAAACTAAGTTCAACACCTAAGACCAGTTATATAATACCACAAGCAACAGACTTATCCGTGAGATGCGGGGGTGGTTCAACATACACTAAGTGATACATGTGAGAGTAAAAGAAAAAAATTCCTATCATTTCAGTTAATGCAGAATAAGCACTCAACAGACTATACCTTTGATGATAAAACCTGTTAACAAGTCATGTGCAGAAGGAACACACTTCAACATAATTAAGCTGGTTAACAACGAGCCCACAGCGAACCTCATACCCAGAAGAAATGCTTTGAGTCTTTCACCATCAAGATCGGGAACAAGAAAAGAGTTCACTATCCCTATTCAACCCACAGCAATGGAAATTCCAGCCAGAGAAATCAAGCAACAAAGAAAGAAAATGCATCCAAATCAGAAAGGAAGAAGTAAAATTGTCATTCTTTGTACGTGATACGATGTTATACATAGAAAACCTAAAGACTCCACTAAAAAAGCTATTAGAAGTAATCAATGAATTTAGTAAAATTTCAGGATACAAAATCAGCACACAGAAATCAGTGTGTCCGTATACACTAACAGTGGAACATCTGAAAAAGAAAACTAGCGTATTCACAAGAGCAACTTTTTAACAATAAAAATAGGAATAAATTTAACCAAGCAGGTGAAAAATGTGCACAATGAAAACTACAAGAGCTTGATGAAAGAAATTGAAGATGAAGAAACAAAAGGAAAGATGCCCCATGTTCACGGAAGCAAAGAATTAACATTGTTAAAATAGCCATACTACCCAAAGCCATATGCAGATTTAACATAACCCCTGTCAGAATTCCAATGGCATTTTTCACAGAAACAGAAAAAATCCTAAAATTTATATGGAACTCTCCCCAAAGAATGACCCAAATAGAACAATCTTTTTTTTTTTTAAGTTTATTTATTTTTGAGAGAGAAACAGAGTGAGTGGAGGAGGGAGAGAGGGGAAGAATCCCAAGCAGGCTCCACATTGTCAGCACAGAGCCCGGTGAGGGGGTTGAACTCACAAGCTGTGAGATCATGACCTAAGCCAAAAACAATAGTCCGGTGCTTAACCAACTGAGCCACCCAGGCACCCCCAAATATAACGCTCCTGATAAAAAAAAAAAGGGAAATCCAGAGACATCACACTTCCTGGTTTCAAACTGTACTACAAAACCATGCAATTGAAACAATATGGTACTGGCATAAAAACAAAGACCAATAAAACAGGACAGAGCACCCTGAAATAAACCCACACATTTACGATCCACTACTCTTTGCCAAGGGGGCCAAAAATACCTAATAGGGAGAGGAGGGTCTCTTCAGCAAATGGTGTTGGGAAAACTAGACAGCTGTTTGCTGACAAATGAAATTGGACCCCTATCCTACACCACTCAACTCTCCAAAATTAACTCTAAATACATTAAGGACTTAAACATAAAGGCTGATGCCACAGAACTCCCAGAAGAAAACGCCGGAAGAAGCTCCCTGAGGTTGGGCTTGGAAATGGTTTTGGGGACACGACAGCAAAAGCACAACAAAAGCAAAAAGCCAGCGGGACGGTGTCAAACTAACCAGCCTCTGCACTGCAAAAGAACAGTAAAAAAAAAAAAAAAAAAAAAAAACAAAAAGGCAGTCTGTGGAATGAGAAAAATATTTGCAAACCATTGAGGAAAGGGTTAAAACTGAAACTCTATAAAGAACATACTACTGAGTAATAACCCCAAACAATCTTTTAAAAAACAGAGGAAGTAGTAACATGTTTCCAAAGAAGACATTCAAATGGTCAGCAGGTACATACGTGAAAAGATATTCCACAACCCTAATAATCAGGGAAATGCAGATCAAGATCATAATGAGCTACCACCTGGCACCTGCTGGAACAGCTGTCACCGAGACGACAAGGGAGAAGTGTTGGTGAGGACGCGCAGACACGGGAACCATGTGCGCCGTGGTGGGAGCGTTCAGCCCCTATGGAAAATACGGAGGCTACTTTAAAAACGCAGAACAACCGTATGACCCACGAGACCCACTTCTGGGTATAGACCTGAAGGAAACAAAGATACAATATCGAAAAGATATCTGTGCCCCATTATAGGAATTATTATTCACAACAGCCAAGATCTGGAAACACCTGAAATGTTCACCGATGAGTGAGTGGATAAGAAGGATGGTGTGTGGGGCGCCTGGGTGGCTCAGTCGATGAAGCATCTGACTGCAGCTCAGGTCACGATCTCAGTTTGTGAGTTCGAGCCCCGCATCGGGCTCTGTGCTGACAGTGCAGAGCCTGGACCTGCTTTGCATTGTGTGTCTCCTTCTCTCACTGCCCCTCCCCTGCTCATGCTGTGTCTCTCTCTCAAAAATTAATAAACATTAAAAAAAAAAAACAGCTTTAAAGGTGTGGTGTGGACACACCATGGAATACTGGGACACGAGAAAGCAGGAAATCCTGACATTTGTACCACAGGATGGACCTTGAGAACATTACAGTAAGTGAAATGAATCAGAGAAAGACAAATACTGTATTCCCTCATATGTAAAACAAGAAGTCAAACTTGCAAAACCGGGGCAAACTGTGGCTGCAGTGGCTAAAGCAGCTCGGGAATCGAATGTACAGCTAGTGTTTATAGCCAACAGGACTGTGTTACAAACGTCGGGGCTGCTGACTAGATCTCAACTGTTCTCATTGCAAAAAAGAAATAATCTGTGGTGGGATAAATGTATTAACTAATGCTACAGTGGTAATCATATTGCAACACAAAAACGTATCAAATCAATGTGCTAAAACCTAATGTTATATTAAGTCAATTGTATCCCAATAAAAATTTTAAAAAACCCAAAACATCGGGGCGCCTGAGTGGCGCAGTCGGTTAAGCGTCCGACTTCAGCCAGGTCACGATCTCGCGGTCCGTGAGTTCGAGCCCCGCGTTGGGCTCTGGGCTGATGGCTCAGAGCCTGGAGCCTGTTTCCGATTCTGTGTCTCCCTCTCTCTCTGCCCCTCGCCCGTTCATGCTCTGTCTCTCTCTGTCCCAAAAATAAATAAACGTTGAAAAAAAATTAAAAAAAAAAAAAAACAAACCCAAAACATCTAATGTTGAGGTGTACATACCTGGAAACCTATGGAGTTATAGCAGCTCAGTGTTGAAACACCTAGGGAATTAAGAAACTATCCCAGGTCAGTGTAGACACCCTGATAAATTAGGAAAAGATACCATTTTTGGTAGATATACCTGAGGAATTAGTGAAACGGTCCAAGTCAGTCTAGATGCGTCTCAGGAATTAGTAAGACACTGAGGTTCAAGACAGCCAACACCTGTGCAGTTAGGAGACACTTCCACTGTAGGGACAACAGAGAAACAGACTCCATAGCAGTACAGATAAGCCCCTGTTTTAATGACATATCCCAGGTCAGTGGACACACACCTTAGGAATTAGTGACATGTGCCAGGTCAGAGCAGACATACTTGGGGAAGGAGGGTGACATCCCAAGTCCTAGTAGAAACCTCTGGGAATTAGGAATTTGTTCGTGTTAGTGTGGACACAAGTGGGCTACAAGGGGGTATCAGAGAAAACATGCCTAGGAATTTTCAGGAGTATTTAAGTTTAGGGCAGACATACTTGGTGAATGAAGAAAACATTCCAGGTCAGGGTAGAAATATCTAGGGTATTAGAGAGAGATCCCAGGTCAGCGCAGACGTAGCTGGTGAATTAAGAGGATATCAAAGGTTATTGAAGACACATCTGGAAAATGAACAATACGTCCCAGGTCAGTGTAGACACAGCTGAGGAATTAGCGGCACATTCCAGATCAGAGTAGGCACAACGCGAGGAGGGAGACATCCAGGTCAAAAACATGCCTGGTTATTAGGGAGACCTATTAGGTCAGGATGGAAACAGCTGGGAAATTAGAATTTCTAGGTCAACAGAGACACACGTGGGTTGTTAGATGTCTCAGCTCAAGGTATAGATAACCAGGTGTCTACACAATTAGGGAAACATCCCGCGTCTGTGTAGACAAACCGGGGGAATCGGGGACCCATCCCAAATCAAAGTACCCACACTTGGCTTATGTGGCAGAAACACTAGGTTAAGTTAGAGACACCTCAGGAATTCTGTAGACATCCCAGGACGACGTATATATACTTGGGGTTTGGGAGACCATCAAGTTAAAGTAAACACACGTGGAGAGCTAGAGAGATTTTTTTTTTCTAATTCAGCGTAAACACACTGTTATTAAGGTGGCTTTCCAGGTCAACGTAGATACACACAAGGAATGAGGGGTATGCAACAGCTTATAGTAGCCACTCCTAAGTAGATACATCCCAGGTCAGTGTGGGTACATCTGGAATAGGAAGATATCCATGTTCATGGTAGACACACCTAGGCAGTTACAGGGCAATGCCAGGTAAGGTGAGACACATCTGGGGAGACACAGATAAATCCCAGAAGGAGGGAGACTTCACAGATCAGTGTATACACACGCCTGGAATTCGGGAGAGATCCGAGATTGCGGTATATAGAACCGAGACTTACAAAGACATCACAGGTTAAAAAGACACAACTTGGGAAATACACATCCCGATACAATTTAGACCCACCTGGGCACTATGAACAACATGCCTGGTAAGTCTAAACACACCTGATGAAGCAGGGGGACCCCCCCAGGTCAGGATGCACACACTGGTGAAGCAGGGGGACCCTCCAGGTCACTGTATACACATCTAGCTTCTCCAAGAAGATTCCCAGGTCTTAGTTAGGTTTCTTAGGGTGATTCCTGGGGACTCAGGGGAAGTTCCCAGGTCGGTCGAGACACACAGTGGTAATAACGAGACATCCTAGACCACATTCTCCACCCTGGGGAAACTAGGAAGACATCGTGGTCAGGGTAAGACACACCCAGGGAATTCAAGTGACATCCAGTGAGTAAAGACACTCCTGGGGGCATTACTGGGATTTCAAAGTCACTAGAGAAACTCTTGCAAAATCAGGGAGACCACTCAAGTCAATGCAGCCTGGGAATTTAGGGACACAGCACATATCAGAATATAGACACTTGGGGATTAAGGGAGATGCCCCAACACAGTGTAGACACATCACTGTGTGTACCTCGAACACAGTGTAGACACATTTAGAGAGACATCCCAAGTCAGTGTAGACACACTTGGACAATTGTGTGGGAAATACCAAAGATGAGTATAATTAGGGAGACATCCAAGTTCATGCTGGACACACTTTAGAGATTATGGAGAATCACAGGCTAGTGATGGCGCACCTGGGGAAGCTGGGAGACATTCACAGCAGTGTAGACTAGTCTAGGAAACGTGCTTCCATGTCTGCCAGGTCAGGGTAGAGACACCTGTGGTATGAGGGAGACATTCTATGTAGTAGACGACACAACTGGAGAGTTAGAAAGTCATCCAAGTTCAGGGTAGACACCTCTAGGGAATTAGGACAACCTAAGTCAAAGCCAAAAAGTCTGCACAACGGGATGACATCAGAGGTCATTGTACCTACACTCGTGAATTCGGGCGTAACCAGTGTAAGAGTAAACACAACAGATTAGTCATCACAGGTCAGAGTAGATACACCTGGGGAATAAGAACTACCAGTGTAGACACATGTGGTGAATTGGGGAGCTCCCAGGCCAGTTCAGACACACCTGGGAATAAGGGAGACATCCAAGGTCACGTTAGACACACCTTGGGTATCACAGGACATCACAGGCCAGAGGAGATGTGCCTGATTACGGAGACCGGTCGGGTCACTGTGGATGTACCCCAGGAATTCGGCATCCCAGTCAGAGCAGAAGTGCCAGGGAATATGAGAGACGTCCTAGGACTGTCCTGGGACAGGGAAAGTCCCTGCTCTCCCCCGCTGCATCACGTGGCAGTCCCTCCCAGCTCCGGAACTCAGAACTTTGCAGCACAGGCCCCTCCAGGCCAAGCGATGCCTGGTTCCAGGGAACCGCCACCACCCCAGCAGGCGTCCTGCACACACACCCCTGTGCCTCTGCCCCCTGGAGGAGGGCGCGCTTGAGGCCGGCTGTGAGAGACAGACTGGGAGCCGGCCCAGGGCTCCCCTTGGCCCCGCACACTGAGCCCACACGCTGACTTCACAGCATGCACTGCCCTCCAGCCCACCCCTGCCAGATGCCAAGGCTGACACATCTAATTGCTTTAAATGGAGACAAAGGAGCAACTTTCAGCCTTTTAGGGCTCGCCTGCCTTGCATAGGCAGTGAAACTACAGCCAGCCTCTGTGGCAGACCACACACACCCTGGGGCAGGAAAGAGCCCAGACCCCTCTGGCCCCTGCGGTCCTGCGACCCAGGCTCCTCCGTGAAGGTCTTCACAGACACCAGAGCCCCTCTACGGCCCCGCCTGGGCTCCCCCCTCTGCTGGCTGGAGGGGACGCCCCTGCAGGCACCTGTCCACAACACCTACCTGGTCTTTTCCTTGATTAGCCTCAAGTGCCCACACAGGGAAAGCCTCCACCCCACAAGCACCTGGTCAGGGTGGGCGGTGCCTGACTTCCCATGGGGGGGGGGTTAATTACAGTCAGAAACTCCACTGCCTGCTGAGCACACAGGATGTGGGATCCGGGGCCTGAGCCTCCTTTGGGCTTTGACCCTGGGTTTGAATGAGCTCACCTTGCACCAGGCCACGCTCAGAGCACTTCCTTGTCTCATTTTGGGGAGGCGTTTATCATCACCCCCATTTGTGGGCGGGAACCCGCAGGTGTAGACAGGCTCCATCAAGGATGCCTCAACCTCACCTCCAGGGGGTGGCGGCCCCGGGGTCAAGCCCAGGCAGCCTGGCCAGAGCCCAGGGCCCCGACCTGTG